AGCAAGTCCGACACCTTGGCAGCAATGCAAACAAACTCTGGCAGCAATCCAGCCTGCCAAGTTAGTTTCTCTTTAGTCCAAGTGTTGTCTTCTGCAAGAAGCACAAGCGTGGCACAAGCAGTCTCTTTTATAGTCTGGAGAGGTGCTTAATGACCTGCTGAGCGTAATTACCTCCTGTAATTACGTAGTTGTTCTTGATGCCGAGTAGCCCTCCGACAGCGTGCATCCCGGAACAACTCACTGTTGGTTTCTGGATCACTCTCTCTTGTCTCCTCCCCACTGATCCAAGGCTCAGGTGCCACCTGGTGGCCAACCAGTCTCTGCACCCTGCTCGGAGTCGGAACCCTGTCCAGGGTCCTCCACATCCTCCAGGGCCAACTCATAGGGCCCCTCACTGTCGGAGTCTGGTGGCAGCTCCAACGGCTCCTGCCAGGCCACAACACATCCCTTTCTGTTTGGACATCCCTTCTATGGAAGGCATTACTAATTGTGAGAATAGTAAATCTGCAGAATATATTTGCATGTAAAACCCTGGAGAAATCTATTGGAAAGAAGAAGTGGCCCTCTGCCAAATTCCAGGATTTTTAAAAGATCCCAGTAGAGTTTCTGGCAGAAGGAAAGAAAATCCTTGTACAGAGGAAAAGCTCCACACCCATTGTCTATGCTCAAGATGTACTAATGTGCAAATCTTAATTGCTCTGCAGATTTGTTGATAGTTTTTTGGAATGCATTCAAATGGTATTTCAGGGGTAAGATGATACGAACATCTGAGTGGGTAAGTGAAGATCAGCTAATGACAGAAATACCCTGGTAAATTATTGTGGGTATTCTTTAAAATACCAGGCTGGGCTGCAGATATTCAAAACCTGATGGTTTCCCAGCAGAACCAATTATAGTCTTTTAATTTGACTTTCCCTTTGAGGATTGGCAAAGAATCAGGTAGCTTTGGGAACAATGAACCAATCATTTATGGAATATGGCAAATAATGAGTTAGGTCATAAAATATTTAGACCTTCCTGCAGTTGTTCAGAAAAATACATTTTGGAAGTTTTTGTGTTTATGTTCAGAGTTCTAGAGAGTAGAAAGGATTTTATGTTTTCCTCCACCTTCAGGTCACGTATTCTGGAAGTGTTGCAAATTATATTTTTCCAGAGCTAGATTAAAAACAACTGCAAGCGTCCAATAATTTTGGCACAATTCTAAAATAAGGTGGCCAGTTATGATGTGCTTTTATTTATTCATTTTTTTGGATAATTGTAAAAGAGGATTTGCAGTTGTCTCATTAACAATTGGGCTTCAAGTAACCTGTAAAAAATTGAAATATAGCTTATTTGGTTTATACCTTCTTGTTCCCATTAGTACTTTATCCTTGGGGTAGTATCAGAACATCACAGAGAGAGAGGGGGGGACACACAGGAGAACAAGGTTCTTTGAGAAAAATGGGAAAACTTTATTGTTGTATTGGCAGAGAGAAAATGAGGTAAGAAATTTCCATAAAGTGTACAAATGATGGTCCAGACACATGTGTGCAAATTTAGAAGTAATCATAATCTCAAATATAAATGCAGTAGATTTTATTTTAATTTTTTTTAGTTTAATTAGAATAATACTCCTTGATGGTTGATCATGGTTGATAGACAACTCCAAAATCCTTGCTTTCTTTTCCTAAATAGGAAAGAAGAGGAATAGGAATATTCTGTAGTGGCCAAGTATGATTGAGTACATGGAATTCACCTTCTTAAAGATAAATTTCATTATTTTTAAATTGCCTGATTATCTCAACAGTTGATCAAATTGAGCTGTGTATTTTGTAAATATAGCCATGATGCTGCCATACATGCATTTGCTATCAACACTGAAATCTCCCAAATCTCTGACAATTGTTACTGAGAAGATACTGCAGTCTCAAGAACAATTATGTACATTTTAGAGCAATTTCTTAAATTTCTGTCTTGCTTCTATCTTCTTCTCATTCTTTGCCACTAGTTTCCCTTTGGCATCTTTGCTTGAGGCAAGAAATTGTCTGTCTGGTTCACATACGTTTCTACGCTTCTACCCATAAACCTGTAGCTTGGTAATGCTTAAACTTTTGCATACCTAGCATAACTAATTTAAATTTTCTTTTCAGGTTAGTAAGTCCCCTATATTTGTCCCTGGTGTTTGGGGACCCTACTGTTCAGCAATGGTGCCAGGACTGTGGCTAAATGAAGGAGGCCAAAGTGTAACAGGGAAACTGGTAGGTCTAATTTTTAGTTCCATTTACCTTTTTAGTTATATTTAAGCTATATCATTATCTTCACATTTCTTAAATGAAAACATGCAGTATAATANAAAAAAATGTACAGTGCTGTTTCTCAACACACCTTCTAGGTACATAAGCATACATTATTGTCAATGAAATTGATTTCTTTAGCTTTTACTGACCTGATTTATAGCAAATGACAGTTATTACCTGAAAAGCTGGGCAGGATTGGACCTCACTAGTGCTTAGAGTGGGAGACCAGTGGCCGTTCCAGAGCTGTCAGATAGACTGGGAAGTTAAAAAGAAAACCCAAGATGATTGTGTTAAACCAGGTCCATATCCAGGTCCAAGCTACAGAAATTCAGTTTGGCCTGAAGAAGACTTTATCTTGTAAGTTGCTCAAACTACTCAGCTCAAATGCGGCAGATATTTGTACTTCCATTACAAACAAGTTTGCATTTGATATGTAGTTGGGATTTAAATCAAAAACTAATGTCTGTCTTCCTTCAAGCACATTATCCTTCCTTTTACATCTGAAGAGTTTTTAGAAATACTTGTGGCTGCCAGCCCTCCCTTCCACTTCCAGTTGTTATCAGTGTTATGACTTTTCTTTGAAGGAAAGCCTCTCTTTGCGGGACTTTATTTTAAAAACTACAGTTAATTTTTTTGTTGGGTGAGAATTCATCATACATTTGAAAGAGTTTCCTTTTCCTTTGGTGCTTCAAATTGTTAAAATTATAAGCCCCTCCCCCCAAGTACATTCTAATTGTGGGAGATAAAACTGAAAAATATGAATGTCAGAATTCAAATCTTTTAAAAAACACTAGAAAACTTAAAATTATAACTTGTAAAGAATATCTGTGGAAGAAAGAGCTTGATTGAAGGCACATGTTGCAGGCAAAAGAAAAACAACAGTGAAGAAAGTACAACAAAGAAAATGCTTACAACTGAGAAGTGTAAATAACACAGAGAGATTACTTATTGAGGATGAAAATTCAGTCAATAGAACAATTATGTATCATATTTCTGTCCAGTTTTTAAATGTCCCTTTGTTACTTTTTAATAAGAGAACAATTTTTGACTTGAAGGCCTGAAGTGTAAAACTATGTTTAATTCACATATTTTAAGAATCCAAAATTATGTTTAATTACCAGTTAACTAATACCAGCAATTTAAATATAAGAGCTTCTTAAAGCTTGACAGAATAGGATTTTCTAATACCGAAAAGAAAATATGAGGCAAGTGCTGGAAGATTGCCGTGGTGTCGGTGATAAAACATGTTGAATCAGTGCAGAATTTGATACAACTTTTTTTGAGGAGATACAGGGAATTGGCTGGTTTATGTTTTTAAGTTCAGTTTCAGTTTCTCAGGCTTGAAGATGTTTTCAAAAGTTTGCATATGTTCAGCCTGTTTCCATCTTGTCCATTTGGCTATTTAGATTTAGCAGAAAGGGGTAATAGACTCATTCTATTTTTATACATTCTTGGAAAATGCCGATCATCTCTCCCTATTCCAGTTGAGTTTCAGACTTGGTTTTATCATTCAAATACTCTTGACCATGCTAGCAAATGGCCTGTTTTCAGGAAAAGACATAGAGCGTTCTTCTATGTTAACCTTTCTGGATGTCTTGACCACTTTGATTCCATCTGCTATGATGTCCTGACTCTCTGGGTCTCAGAATTCATTAGCAGTGAGTCTGTATAAAACTGCTTCCCAATTGAAGCAACAGATGCACAGATGTACTCCAGGTTTCTTCTGTATCACCCAAGACCCAAGTGACATCAATAATCTGGAGTTCATTTGGCCAGTGTGTTTCTGGTTATGCTTTGCTGTGATCCTTCTTGAACAGCAATGGCTTGGTTTGACTGATGCTCTGATGTTCTGCATTGGATTAATGCAATATGCCTTTAAATATGACTCAGAAATTTCATCCATTGTACAATTCGGCAGTGAAGTTATTACCCAGAGCTCTTTTTAGATTTAACATAACATCTGTCCTAAAAGAACTGCATTGCCTGCCTATGCACCAATCATACTTAAAAAATATCAGAATGGCAGAGTCCTTTATTGTTCAAAACCATGAAACTTGAGCATGAATCTTTCTCAGTGTAAACTTACTCAAATATTAAGATTTACAGGGGAAAAAAGTCTTAAGTGACTAATGTCAGAGGCATGTTCTCTATTGTGGCCACCCACTTTGGTATGCCTTTTCTGGATGGTACTGATATCTATCTTTCAATACTAGAAGAAGAACTTCATTCTCACATTCAAAGCTTAATCGCAGCCATACAATGCTTTTTGTTTAATAATGCTTCTTGTTGTTGTATTTATGATTGTTTATTTTAAATAATATGTTTTAGTTACATTATAGCAATAGCAGTTAGACTTATATACCGCTTCATAGGGCTTTCAGCCCTCTCTAAGCGGTTTACAGAGTCAGCATATTGCCCCCAACAATCCGGGTCCTCATTTTACCCACCTCGGAAGGATGGAAGGCTGAGTCAACCCTGAGCCGGTGAGATTTGAACAGCCTAACTGCAGAACTAGCAGTTAGCTGAAGTAGCCTGCAGTGCTGCATTTAACCACTGCGCCACCTCGGCTCTCATTATTGCTTATTGACTTGGTTTTACTGCTTCACATTTCTTTTTTATGGTATATATTTTATTGTGAGGTCTTCAGCATAGTGGATAGGCTATAAATATGTAAAATAAAATAGAGCTTTGTGCCTGTCCCTGAGAAAAGTATTTGGCTGTCAGGAAATTTCACATGGTTCCCACCAATTTCATTGTATGTTTTTTTTAAAAAAGAATTTCATTGAAAGTGACTTTGCCATATTGAACGAGATGACAAAATATTGAATAAAATTAGAATATAAATACAATGTAGATACATTTAAAACATTTAAGGATGTGGAAATATGTTCAAATACTGGGTTTTTTTTGCTACATTAATTTACAAAGGTATCATACTCAACAAAAGCACTTTCAAGATCCTGCCAGCCACAGACATTTTAAAATGTTATAATATTTACATGTGTGATTCTTAAAATTAAATTTGGATTAATAATCAACCTGGTTCAGTATTTAACTCAAAATAATGTATTTCAAAAGATGGAATTACTGAAAGTAAAATGGAAAGAGGAGCTCAAATGCACCCAAACAGGCCACAACATATGCCATTGTGCATCAGTTCCTCAGTGTACATGTTGTAAATTAGATATGGCCTGGTTTAGTATTTCAGCATTCATTCACCTGGCAGATTTAGATTTACAATTTTGGGAAAAGATTCTGCTTTAAAGAGTTGTCATAGGTGCTGATTTCATGCGTTTGCATGTAGCTCAATCTATGGTATCTTTTATTGCTGGTTTTTACGTTTATATTCGTAAAATTTGAAACATGCACAGCCCTAATATTTAATAGCTAATCATCCCTGTTCTGACCCTCTCCTCCGTCCAGTAACGAAAGCTGAGACAAGCGTAAAATGGAATGTCCTTTAATAACAAGA